AGCAATTTTACGACAGTAGTGAGGAAAAGTTCAGTTCGGAACAAGGGCTAAGATTTAAATCTATATATTTCGTGTAATTCCAACCTAGTGAATTCCGTTAAATTAATATCTGCTGTTAATCTGGGCTTACGTAAACTACTTAGATTCCTTACCAGCGCTATGCGTATCATAATCCCGTATCAAATGTGTAACACAGGATGCATCATCACTGTCATCACTGCCCACTTCAACCACTGAAAGCACTGAATATTGTAGAATTGAAATTTAAGTTGATATATCAATTATATTGCAAATTTATGGGGTAAGGTAAAGAGATGCGAAGTTGCGTTCAATTCGCTCTTAATCTTAATTAAATTTTTTATTTGGAGAAGTTCTGTGGAAGAACCACTCGCCATATCTCCTTTTTTGCACTTTAAACTTCGCTCTTTTATTACAAAGGCTTTTTCCTTTTGAGAAATAACTTCTTTAATAAATCTATTACCTCTTAATAGCTACATCATGGTGTACGGAGTAAGGAGAAAAAACAAATTCATATGATAGTTTATTTCAACCAATAGTCAGTATAGCTAACATCTTAAGTCACAAATTCCGGGAATCAGAACACGTTTAAAGATAACTCTCAATCTTTCTAAATTTCGGACTATTTAATCCTTATGCAGTTAAAGACCAAAATTAAAAATGAGGTTTGCGATGACAGTTTTTTCTCCATTGAGAAGGGAAAAAAGAGATACCAGTTTTGTGTGAAACAGAGGAGAAAACAGCAAAATCTTCTCGATTGGCTTTGTTCTTATTACGTCGTTTTCCCATTCAATCAAGTAAAACAGTCATATGTTGAGTATACGCGACATGTCACATTAAATCAAACTGCTCACCAACACGTTTTAGGAAAACTGATGAAAATTCCAACGAATAACTTATTAGATGTGGTTAATATTTCAATAGTAACAGACATCACAATGCCACTACTTATTTCCAAAGCACAGTGAATACAGGTTCCATCTTATAAGTGTAACTTCATGCTGAATTAGAAATAGGGGCGATCTGAACTGAAGTAAAATGAAACACAAATTAATCGCTTCAGTGAACCCTGTTTCATCTCAACAACAAACTCCAACCACCACCTAAAACTGCGCAATTTGAACCACTCTTTATCAGTGCTACATATGAAAGACAAGAATCCCACCAGAACTAGTTCAGGCCCCAACCCATTTCCCCTACTTAAAACTCTACGCTAAACAATTACCACCTCTTCACTTATCACGGCCGTGGAAATAGGAATAGCCACGTGTTGCTACTATATTTGGATCAACATTAAGAGCGTGCCTCGCTTCTGTATATTCTCGTATTTCTCAAAACAAATAGTAGGGTTGTTCACCTAAAGAGTGAAAGTTGTGGAAGTTGGAAGTTGTGAAGTGGCCTTCAGGTACCAAAAATGAAATGTCACTCAGGTTTAATTTGAAAGTCTTTTACATTTTTCTGAATTTCTGCTCTTTTAGCATCTTTTTAGTTCGCATAATATTTGAATCGACAGGTTTGTTAGGGTTGTAGTAGTTGAAGTTGTAATGTTTATATATACGGATTGGATGCAAATACGGCACTATTTCTACAAGAAACTTCTTCGTTAAATGTTTTTTTTCTCATTTTCCATAAATCATTTATCACAAAAATTTGCTTATCTTTAAAAAAGAGATATGAGGAACTATAGTAGCTGTTACCAATCAGATGAAAAGAATAGAAATTTTGGTGGTAACTAAGTTGCTGATAAAACATTAGAAATTGTCTCGGGTTTTCATCTGTCAGGAATAGATCGTACCCATTTTTTCTTTTTGTAATTTACGCTTTATCTTGCTGCGATTTAGATGAACTGATACGCTATACAAACTGGTTTTCTGGTCCAATTAGTGATTTTTTAATAAAAAATTCAGAAGATAACTGTGGTCAATATTCAGAAAATAATTGCATTAGTGATTAAATGCACTGCAGTTGATTTAGTTATCCATGCTTTTTAGCTCCTGGGTTTGTATGACCTTCATCTTTAGTGCTATCGCCTTTGTACTCAATTTACTTCTTATAGTTCTAGCTATATAATATCGCTACTTGACAAGCGAAACCCTAATATATTATTCGACATCTAATAGTACTTAACATAAAACCTATTTGGATTCCTAATTTTTAACCAAAATTTAACATGCAACTTTGTTGTGAAAATTTACTGACAGGAGTAGCTTACACATTCACATAAATTGTTCCTAAGAGACCTTAAAAGTGATCAAATTTTTGAAATACTATTTTCTGACTAAACTTTGTATGATCAAATCATAGCGATCCTTATAAATATCTGCAAAAATAGTGTTTTCAGTAGATCTCTTCAACTCTTTGGAACTATGCGATTGTTAGAAAATAATTTTTGTCAGAATTTCCATACATTTTTTTTTTTTTTTGATCAACAAGGCTAAACGCCTTGTTGATCAAAAATCCAATAGTGTGATTGTCACAGTTGCTGCGGTAGTCATTCACTGGATATAGCATTTCAAACAAAAAAATCGTTTAGTGATTTCCATTTTTAATTTGAAATATCTCGATGTATATCCGTCCAATGATATAGGTAATTCTCTTCACCTCCCTAACTTCTTTAACAATCCGGCAAGCTGACGGTCATGAATAATAATAGAAAAGCAATTTATGGCTGAGTAATATGAAAAGTTTGTGAATTAAACAGGCAGTCAATGACTGAAATTCATCGTTCTCGACAATCCTCTGACTGTCGACAAATCCCTTCAGCGTCCCACTTATTCACATCGTGCACTATTTACTTTCAAGTATCCCTCATCTATTTGTATGATGAACGCCATTGATCTGTTAACAGCTAGATGTCGACAACCAAGCACTTCCGGTAAAAGTCGGTGACCTTACTTGGGTATACTTCTGTTTCCCTTTCCTCCCGGTCTCCGCCCACTTCTAGTTAAATATTATCCGATAATCATAACTAACAATCAACAAGCGTATTCTCTGAAGCTATAGTTTTGTAAATAATCTTAACATCCTAACACTGTTAACAAATCAGACATTTCTTCATTCTTAAAGCAGTTGCAACGGGTATTTCCGTCAGAAAGACAGAGGCGTTGTAAAGTTTTGTTCCGCTTATCACCAGTCCTCTATAAGTTAAACTTGAACGTTTAAGTTAATTTTTGTTAATGCCTCGAAATTGACTTACAATTAAGAAATTGAAATCGTAGAGTGGGAGAAAAAACAAGGTTTAACTGGAGGGAAATAAAAAAGGAATCGGAGAAGAAGGGAAGAACCGAATATAACATAATGCAGTAATATCGGCTAGTTTTGCTAAGATTTTGTAGTTCAAATCGGCAAAAATAGCACATTTGTGGATGGACGATGAGGGCGTTATGATTATTGTTTAAATCTATTCTGTGTCATTACTTTCTTCCAACCTTTTATCTGAACAAAAAAGAAAAAAAAATAGTTGATGGATCAGGAAGTATTTGCAAGAATCAAGAATTGGCATGATTCTTGTGTTGATTCATATCTTTTGTGTCACAGTCTTGTATATCCACTTCTCATTCAAACAGCGAGATGCAAATTTTTTAATCAGCACTTTGTTTTTCAGATGTTCTTTTACACTTATATCTCATCAGGAACAAGCGATTCAACTATCTAATAGCTTTATTACAACTGTCTTTAAAACAAAAGTAAAAAAATGAGCCAACTGCCTAAGCGATGATTCAAATTAAATTATGATATAACAAAAAATGAATTAACTGAATGTTTTGCAGGGTTAATCAGAAGCGAACAAATTTTTAAAAATTAGTCAGTTATTTGTTATTGTTCATTCTAAGAGAAATCATTTTTTCTTTCCATGCTATAATATTAATAATTCATAATTCTTAGTAACCAGACATTACCCTCAGCTTGCTTGCAATTTTGCTTGAAAAAGAAAATCGAAATTGACCATAGAAGCGTGAAATGTTGACAGTTTTTAGGCAACCGACCGTCGAGGATGAATGACACTTTTTTTTGGATGGCTCAAGGTAACTGTGAATGTAAAGAAAAACATGTGAAGGATATCAGAAGCACATAAACAGTCTTGTACAAACAGAAACATAAGCGATGTCACTTTTTTCAACATTTATTCATTTCCTGTCTAATATGCGGCAAGCATCTTTCATTTCCCTATATCGTTTAATTTTACCATTTCATATGGATCTCGTTTTTGGACAGTTAAACAAGTTGTACTTCTTTTTATCCCTTAATTACTATCTTTCTGTGATATTGCTGATAAGTCAGTGGAGCAGTAATTAAATTTCATATTTTTTGTATTGGAATTTCTAACTTAAGTAATCAAGATATTTTAGAAAGCTATGTGAGGGGAGGAGGGAAGAGGGAAGAAGGGAGGTGGGGAAGATGATTAGATGGGAGGAAGGAAATATTGCTTTCAGGAATGAATCGAAAGCACTTTAGAATGTTCCCATTACTAAACAAGCGATTGTAACAGTGAATTAGATGATAGAAAAAAGAAGGCGCTAATGTTGTTATGGTGGTTTGGAAGTAGAAATACGTTAAGTAAATGAGCTTCAATCCCCGATGGGTATCCCGTCCTTTTGTTCTTCTCTGAAACATCAAGCACACCTCATATAATTTACACAATGCATCACTCTCCACTATCTAAATTTTGAAATTTATTTAAAATTCTTCGCTTTCCACTTTCATGTCTGTAACTTCATGGTTTGAAGTGTAAGTGATAAACTATTGATGATTTAATATCAATAATTCTAACTTATAAGTTAGACTTAGATTCCGGTTTTCAAATAGATGTAGGAATTGCAACTAGTGGATATCCATAAATACTATGTTTTATAGTTAACTAAAGAAAAAATCAATAAATGCATTTATTTCCACAAAAATCTACATGTTTGGAAATCTGGATACAATATTATCTAGTAATAGGCAAACAAAACAAAGCGATGTGAATTCAATAAAACAATTATTTAATACGAACCAGCGGCGGTTGTGGATGAATAAAATACATACGAAGATGTTCGCATTGATGTAGCAGATGGCATGCTGATGCTAGCATTACTCCGGCTGTTGTTCGAGTTTATATTGAGGTTAATGCTGCCTGGTAGCATGCATTCAGGATTTCGTGTCGAATCAGCCCAGCGATCACCGAGAAATCCGTCTAAAAATTTTTCCTTCAGTAGATATTGAGATTCATGAACTAGAAACGAACACACTGCATGCCTAATAGGAATGATAAATAGAAGTTAGTATTGTTAAACACTTAAAGAATTCACTAGAAAAAGCTTTGATTAATAATTTCAACTGAATAAGTCACAGATTCTTTATTCCCACCGTTAATATTACTAAATAATATAATTTAATGTTTCAATATGTGAAGCTACTAGCACGACTTCTGGTCAGAGTGAAAATTCACATGATAAAGTAGCTAGTAGACTAAATGTAAAAAAAAGATACACAGGAGTTTTTAAAATTTTGAAAAGAGTACAGCTGGGGCAAAACTAGACTAGCATGTTAATTAATAGTACAGACGTTCTAACTGATCAACCAACTGTTCCAGTTTTTCAAGTCTAAAATTATTATTTCAGTTATAAATTTTCACAATAATTTCGCCAAAATAGGTGAAAAATTGTTTGAGTAGATGTCCATATATATGGTTTATTTCAAGTACGGAATCAATGATCTTTCGATAAGAAATGGTTTAGTTTGAAGTAATGGATTTCATATCATAATTCAATGAACTGCATGCTACAGACGGGCAAAATGTTTTTTTTTTTTTTAACCTATAGAGGTGAGTGAACAATCAGAAGAGGAACCATTTCATATGGACAAAGTAAGCTAGCCTGATTAATTACATATTACTTTAAACAGTTATTATTGCTAATTCCGATTCCTGTTATCGGTATCTCTTCATTCCTTAAATATAGGGTTGATAATTATGGGGTTTTTTTTGTGAAAGAAGACTTTTTAAATAAAATTACAGTTTAAGTAGTATTACATAAATTCCCTTTATTTATGGTACAACTGCAATGACAGCGACAAATGACGAGACGACTAACAAATTCGAACACTTACCAAAATATGTTTGAGAATTTGTATTTGATGATGTGATTACTGTAGGACCTGTTCCTTCCCAGCCTTTTTCTATAAAAATTGTTTACAATAGGAAAGCGTGCTTTTTTATTTAAAAATATTTTACAGATTTTGAAATTAATTGCAACTTTAAATTAACAAATTTTAGGCAAAAATAATTACTTAAGGCATTCATATCTTACTAAGCTTTTAAAAATAATAATTTAAAAATATCATACGTCTAAAAAACACCACATAAGATTCAATTATCAATTATGTTGGTTCCCAATACTGAGCACTTTGTTCACTATATTCAATTCTTGATTATTGCAGATACTTCCCAATTCATACTCTCCAATTTTTAAAAATGAAGTTTAAATATTCGAATATGACGTAAGAGGTCACCTAGAGAAACGTGAAGACGTGAAGCAAATGCATTTTTATTCGTCGTTTTAAAATTTGTTGCTAACTGCTGCGATGCTTGGGAATTGTCCATGCTGCTCTTGAAACAATTTAATTTGCAAACAGATGAGTGATGAAGCTGAAGACGCATACGCTGCGCTGGCTGATGGCCATCTAGGGGCGGTGATACTAACTACAGAGGAATAATGGGAGAAAGAACACTGGGGAAGAAATAGAAGAGGGAAAATTTTAAACTAAAAAATAAATTTTCTTCCTATAACAAAAAGCGGAATTATTTTGTCGTTGTGTATTTTAGAAATCGAGGTTGCAAAGTTTTATGAGAACCTATGAGAAAAATCCAGAACTAGTCATTCTCAAAATGAAGTGGCAATGGGAGATTCCAGAAAACAGACTTTAGAAGGCTGTTCGAAACCTAGAAGCTCATTGATAGAATAGGGAGTTGTCGGTGCTAAAAAAGCTGTTTGCTGAAGGGTTCTTTCTGATAAGCGATCCATGGATGATTTATTCCGAACGATCCGATTAATTGAAGATACGCTTGGCACATTTTCTGAATCACACACTCGTTCCTAAATTTGGTTAGCATCGAATTAGGAGTGCATTTCATATCGTTAATACCCGCCTTCAGATTAAGAAGAAGATTCATATACTCAAGTTTATTAATTTCCATTCCCATTGATGCAATAATTCTTACGAAAATTTCAATGAACATTGACGCTTCTATATTTTTCTTAATTTTTAATTTAGAATTTTACTCGAATTGAAAATCATTAAAGATAAAATCGAATTGAAGTTAAATAGTAAGTTCCGATACAAAAATGGTTTTGAATTTTTTTTTGCTGACGTGCTCTTCTGGAAGTGAAAAGCTTATTCCTAGGTATAATTAATGATCCTTGTTTTAGATGAGGTTTAACACCAAAAAGCGTTTTTTTTTGTTGTCTTTAGGTCATTGAAATACACAAAATTGATATTAAAAAAAAAAAAACCAAGAATTCTATCGGGAACACAAAGTATCCTAAGTTAGAACAACTAATTTAAGTTGCGAAAGAAACTCGAGGGCAAGTTCCACGGTGCTTAATAGCTATCAAAGATTTGTTTAAGGACATAGATTGAAAAGAATAGAAAAAGTCGTGAAATGCATAGTAACGACTGCCTAGCTATTAAATTACTTTTCAAAAACTAGATCTCATAGTTTCAGAAAAGTAAGAGCAAGATGAAATCTGGAAAATGAATAAAGAAATCAAAATATAATTACCTCTAACAATTTTTCTCTAATTTCCCAGGCAAACATTGTCGGATTAGCTCTTTTATAAGCGGCAATTGTTTGAACAACTTTTGGTGTGGCTACTTTCGGCTTTGACCCGCCAATAACACCTAAAATGTGTAAATAAAAGGATAAAAATTTCAAACTTAACAATTTTATGATACCATGTTCTGGATAATCTGAAAAATCAAGAAATAACATTTTTTTTTTAGTGGCTTAAATAAATTATAAAACTCCAAAAATATAAATATTTCGAATTTGGGTGTCATCGTGCAATATGGTTTTTGCTATGAGTGTGACTCATCTAAACTGTTATAACAAGAATTTCTGTGTTCCTCTGATATTAGGTACATTTCACAGAAGAAATTAGGAATTAAAAATTTCTGAATCTATTTACTATAAACAAGTGAAAAATAGAACGCTTAAGAAAAAGAACTTGAGTTCATACTGCATTGTATATATTCTTTGAATTTTTGTTATGAAAAAGGAGGAAGGACCTGGTCGAATGGATCCAGTCTCATAGTAACGGCCAAGTATCTTCGATACACACCCGTGTGATACCCGTAATTGCCGTGAGATGTCGCAGGGGCGAACACCTTGATGTGCTAATTCAACAATTCGATTCCGGATATGATCCGGTAGAGGCCGTCCATTAACAAAAACTCCTCCGAGTTGATTGACGCCTGTGTGACCTGATATCAGAAACGATAGTTTATTCTAGAACTTCTGTAATTTATTTTGCTAAATGGAAGAATTTCTTAAATCAAGTTCGCAGCGAGTCGTTTTCTTGATATCTACGAATAAAGTGAATGCATTCAAAAGAGACATCGTAGTAGCTTATTACTCGTGCTTATAATGGTTTTTGACTACAAAATGTATAAGCTAACTGAGGATTTGGTACTTTTTAAGATATTTACTGCTTTTTATAATTGATTCAGCACATATACAGCAACAGTTTTGTTTAAAAGTACACTATAATATGAGAGTTATTACTGGTAAATGGTTGAGTATAAAAAGCAGCAGCAGCGGCGGCAGCACTTGCGGCACCAGCAGTTGGATTCGGTACAACGGTTCCTGCCGGATTGTAGGCAGCTGCTGCGGCATATCGAGGCCACAAGGAGCAATCCATGGTCAAATGAATGAGCAATGTCCGAAAATGCTTGGTTGCATAGCGGAGGCAACGATCGTTTGTGCGGAGCTGATTGGTTGTGCGCATCTATCGAACTCCGCCTTTCTGTTCAAGCCAACCCTCCGCCTACCAACTTTCTATCGTATATACCCAGAAAGCATATCTCACTGCAGGTATTTCACTTCATCTTATCAGTCATCGATTGCTATCATCTTAACCACGTGAAGTGTTCGTTTATTTACTTATTTTTCAAGCATTTCCATTAATTTTTCCAAAAAACTTGTACCACAACTTCACTGTACTAAAGGCTTCTGGACAGTGTCCACTTGTTTCCTGCTTTCTCGACTACTTAAACCTCGATCCAACCTTGTCTTTTATCGTCAGACCTATTCGGTAATAATGAAGATTTTTATTTGCAAAATAAGGTTTGTAAATTATCTTTTTGGATTCTTTTAATCTTCAAACGTTTCACAATTAAATCCAATTTTTGAACTTTCTGTTTCGAACTGCAAAAATTGATCTATTGTAATATGTTATGCGCTAGACGTATCGTAGTATTATGTGCAATTATGTAAGCGAAATAAAAATGACTGCAGCACAAAATTTAATAAACAGCTTAAATCATACAGGATTGAATAGTTATGTCTATGTCTTGTTTTTATTACTGAATAGACCTGACAATAAAGTAAGAAATAACTGTTCTAGAATAAATTTCTATGGACTAGGTAACATTGACATATGTATAAAATTCATTGCTTATTTTCACACTATGCATTTCTGCAATCTAATTCATGGAGTCAACATTTGGATTATGATACATGAATTACAGCCATGTTGCTGTTCAAAATTAGAACTCCAGATTTGGATTTTATTTTCTTCTTAAAAGGTTTTTAGATACATAAGGAATTTTGTGCGGAATATCATTTAGATGAACAAAAAAAAAAAAAATCAGTTAATTCCATGAACTTTTTTATTCATCCTATTCTTTCTTCAAGGAGTATGTAAACCATGGTACTATACACGTTTTACTTTAATAACCTACTTTGCAAAATTTAATTTATTTCCTTCATTAAGGCTTCATTTTATTTTCATATGTACTTTTAAAGTAAACTATATCACTAACAGTTGTACTTTAGTAAAGATGACAAAAATATTACTGTTTGGAAATCAGTTTTTGTTGACAACATTTTTTTTCATTTTGTTTGCTTAAAATCAGTTTATTGAATTTGCTAATCCGCAGTATGATATCATTTCAATACGAATTTGTGTAAACATCTTGACAGATATTTGTCGAAATCGATCTAAACAGAGGATTTCTTAAGTCACATGACAAATATCCATAATGTCAACTTTTTTATGTGTCATTGATAAATGAAATAATGCAGGTAAAGTGATACGTGCTTTGAAACTATAATATTTTACACTCACAATTTTCGCATAATTAACTTACTTTTGAAAGGAACTTTTTTTTCGATTTCATTATTCTTTGTTCTTCTTTTGCGCCGCTTGCTATTGAAAGCCTAGAAAAGTGAATTTCATTAACTACACTAGAATAATTCAAACTTGCCACCGAAAAAATTCCATCAATTTTTACAGATTCAAAATTCATTTAGATTTCAAAAGTAGTCTAAAATAACTTTTAACCAATTGCAACAACAATCGTGTTTGGTTCATTTGTTCATCAGTTCTGTGTTACAAGAAGATTTAAATTAATAAAGTTTAATAAATGAAATAATGCAGGTAAAGTGTTCATCACCTCTATAATCATAGATAATCAGTAGCAAGTTAGTATTGCTCCGACAATTTCATGTTTACTTGCTATCTTTATTTTATTTGCCATATCCAGTCATTTTTTAAACTTATGGAAATAAAGGAAGTCATTTGTCGATTTCGGAAGAGTACATGTATTTTTAATTTCTTCTCAATCATTTTGGTGATGACATTATCACAAAAAAATATTTTAGAAGTAATTTTTCGATAGCATGCTACTTTCTTTAAATTCCAAAAAAAAAAAATTATTACGAAATCTAAAGAGTTCCATCTTTTCAATTATCCAAATTTGTCAAAATTTCATGCAGCATATTTTCTATTTCAAGTGACAGATACAAGTTACGGAGTCCAATATAAATATCAGTCCACTTCAATGATCATCATTGTTTTCATTATCATTTTTAAGAAAAACCGATTTTCAGTAGTTAACAACTTTAGCCTTCGTCCAAAATGCTTTATTTTGAATTATAATTGAAATATAAAAATAAATAAAACTGTTAGGGTTTTTTTCTAACAGAGGACAACTTGAGCGAAGTTCAAGATGGACTATTTATTAGTATACATTGTAACTTTATGTAATTGTAGTCGTACATGGTATAATCGGTTTTAAGTACTGCTACTATTATGACTGCTTAAAGCAAGTTCAACATGGACTACTCATTAAGTGTAATTTATGTGAACAGTGGAAGGTGATTGATATGCGTAGGTGGAATGCTAATTAAGCATTCCAAGAAGATTACACTTGGGAAATAATATTTATGCATTCATTGCAATGATATGTTTTCTTCATGAAAATTACTGTAATACTGTAGGCATTTTATCCCGAATTCTTTTTGATATACTAATAAATCACCGATTAATTCTGCAGGTGACTAGTCATTGGATTACGACAGAAAGGTCATCTATATATGAAGGAGGAAAGAAGAAAATAGAAAAAATACTGATTGAATGTTTTAAAAAAATTTAGAAAAATATTCTACTTATAACAACTACTGCTTCAAAAAGCATTTTCAACATTTCTGGAGAATAATCTTAATGCGATAAGATTCATTGCAATAAGATGTTTCTTTCAGGAAAATACTATAATATTGCAAACGTTTTTATCTCGAATTGTCTTTGATATGAAAAAGGAAATAGTTGGCAATAAAAATGGAAATGAGATTTGAAATTTTCTATTTTGGTATGTTTGAAATGTATTTCATCATAGTTGTGCCTTTCTTCTTGACTGATTTTCAACTTTTCTATCAATTGAAGCAATAAAAAAGCTTCATTATTTAATATGAAATGAATTTTATTTTGCAAACAATCAAAAGAAAAGATGTGCATTTTGTTTACATCGAGAATGTAACTTCTAAATTGAATGATTGACTGTTGTAAACGGAATTCAGTTATTCTATAGTTGTTTTCCACCGGCATTTTCATCGCCAAGTCATACCGCATTAGCTAGCATGCATCCACCTATAAGTAGGAAACAAGCAGCTGTTTACATTTATTTTTTCAGCTTCGTACAAGTGCTGCAAATTTTATAGTTTTCCAGGTTATCGGAGTGCAGAAACTTAGATATCGGAGTAACAGTCGATGTAAGCTAAAACTGAAATCAAGAATGCTGATAGACTAAAGGATTTCAAAAGGTAACACAGATTACTACAATTTTTGAAAATTTCATTTTGATTTGTAGTATAATATATTTCAGGTGTAAAATATATTGTTTGATGAAATGGTTTTCAACTGCGAGCAGGTAAAGTTCAAAGGTATTGATCTGAACATTAAGAAGGAGGTATTTTACATGATTACATTCTGAGTGTTGGTAATGTTTACCTGTTTGAAGAAATTTGGTGCAGCGGAATTCGTTCGCTAACCTCTCTTTTCATTCCCTCGTCCATTTTATCGTTTAATGAAACACCGTAATCTCAGTTTGAAGGTCTTCAAATGTCTAGCCTTTCTTTCTCTTTCTTTCCTCTCTTTTATCAAACATGCAGATTATCTAAGATACCATTTTTAAGCTTTAAACTTACAAAATAACACGGCTTTGCATAAATTCATTACAATGTCTTCCTTGTTAATTATTCAGCTACATTTTCGACAAACCTTTCTATTATTCATCTGCTTGCTGTTTAGGTTACCCCTTTAAGAGACTGACTCCTAAATAAAAATATTACTCGACTTGATCTTGAATCTGTAGTAATGTGCAATAGCAATCATTTTAATTGTTACAAGCTCTACAGTTAGAAACGAATAAAGAATATGACTTCAGTCATGAAAGACAATTATTTCCTGAATCAATCCGAACACACAACTTCATCATTATTCTTTCCTTTCAGTTACTAGTCTTGCATGCTTGTGTTGAATAAAACATCAGTATTATTTAATAAATCTAAACATCTTAAGCAATGCTTTTCGAGTAACTTTTCACCTAAAAGAAAGTTTACTGCAGTTGCAGTTGCGCTTAGTCCCAGATCTATGCAAACAATAAGCATGGCGCTAGAAAGAAATTAATTTCATCGACATCAATAGAACTAAAATTTTGTGCTTTTCGAAATCATCGCAGCATGATTTCGGTAGGTTTTTCAACATTACAAAAGAAGAAATTGTCTCGTAGTTCGTGCTTCTTAACTATCGTTTAGTTCATCAAAGAATATTATTGACATTTCAGAGGCACTGTTTGATAAAAATAATATAAGCAATAAAGTAGAGACATTTTTGGATAAAGAAATCTACTAGAATTTAAAATACGCAATGTACATTACTGTTGAGACCAAATTGTAAATTTAAATAGAAATTCTTGGCAAAAAGTGAAGAACTCCAATACGACCTGAACCTTCTATTTGAAACGCAGTTACCTCAATTTCATTTCTTTTTTATCATATCAACCATGAAGAACCAAATGCCAAATGAAAAACCCTAACAAGTGACAACACAATTTAAGTCAGCAATCTCACGCCACAATAACACTGCTGGAGTGCACTGTTGTCTTACGCCATATGCTAACTTCATATAATAAAGTGACAACACACCTTTGCAACTTGCAACTCACTATTCGTGTAAGCAACTGTGATCTCTTTCCAGATGTTCATATGAACAATGACTTTACATATACGCGATAAAGGACCACAAAAACTTTTACTCGTTCACGGGAAAAAATTTTATAAGTGCACAAAGTTCACCTCAATTTTCTCCTTTTCTTAAAATTTGTATACCGAGACTTCATAATATATAATCCAAAAAGTGAAAAAAAGGTAGGTCATTAAAAAATGCATAAATAATACCACTGAAGCGACATACAATGTTATAAAACATTGCTTCTGAATTGAAATCCC